CCAAGGCCCCCACCTCCCACCCACCCCAACGTCCCCATGCCACTCACTGCGGCCGCAGCGCCGTCCTGCCTTCATTGACCACAGCTGCCTTCTGCCCACAGTTGGGATGAAACTGCAGACGGGGGACGGGAGGGGTCAGGGGGGGTCCGGAAGTGGCGGGGGTCTGCTGGGGGGGACAAGGAGGGGACAGGGCCCGCAGGATGGCGTTGGTGCGGCGCAGGCGGTCGCTGGCGTTGTGCGTGTGGACGATGGTCACCTTCACTGCCATGCCGTACAGATCCACCACCCCGTACACCACCAGTGGGGTCAGCGTCGTGGCCACCCCTGGGGACAGCAAAAGGGACAGGGTGGGGGGTTGGGGTCACCTGTAGGGTCCCCAAGGCAAACCCCAGGGCAAGACGTTCCCCAGCAGTCACCCTAGTGATGTTCAGATTTCTTCACAATCAGGTGGTGTTGACACAGGGGACACCAAGAGGATGGGGATGTCACCCGTGGCCCATCAGAGGGACAACTCTGTCACCTCCTGTCACTTCAGGGATGTCACAAGGATGGGGACATCACCCAGGGACCCCCATGCTTCCCCCCAAGTCACGTTGACATGGAGGACACCAAGAGGATGGGGACATCATGGAAACATCTGTGTCCCCTCCTGGTTGAGTGGTGTTGAGGTTGGGGACACCAAGAGGATGGGGACATCATGGAGACATCTGTGTCCCCTCCTGGTTGAATGGTGTGGATGTTGGGGACACCAAGAGGATGGGGACATCAGGACATCACCCATGGCCATCATGGAAACATCTGTGCCCCCTCCTGGTTGAGTGGTGTCAACGTTGGGGACATCAAAAGGATGGGGATGTCACTCATTGCCCATCATAGGGACAACTCTGTCCCCTCCCAATCACCTCAGGGATGTCACAAGGATGGGGACATCACCCAGGGACCCCCATGTTTCCCCCCAAGTCAAGTTGACAGGGAGGACACCAAGAGGATGGGGACATCATGGAGACATCTGTGCCCCCTCCTGGTTGAGTGGTGTGGACGTTGGGGACACCAAGAGGATGGGGACATCAGGACATCACCCATGGCCATCATGGAGACATCTGTGTCCCCTCCTGGTTGAGTGGTGTCAACGTTGGGGACATCAAAAGGATGGGGATGTCACTCATTGCCCATCACAGGGACAACTCTGTCCCCTCCCAATCACTTCAGGGATGTCACAAGGATGAGGGCATCACCCAGGGACCCCCATGCTTCCCCCCAAGTCACGTTGACAGGGAGGACACCAAGAGGATGGGGACATCATGGAGACATCTGTGTCCCCTCCTGGTTGAGTGGTGTCGACGCTGGGGACACCAAGAAGATGGGGATGTCACCCGTGGCCCATCAAAGGGACAACTCTGTCACCTCCTGTCACTTCAGGGATGTCACAAGGATGAGGACATCACCCAGGGACCCCCATGCTTCCCCCCAAGTCACGTTGACAGGGAGGACACCAAGAGGATGGGGACATCATGGCCATCATGGAGACATCTGTGTCCCCTCCTGGTTGAGTGGTGTTGACGTTGGGGACACCAAAAGGATGGGGATGTCACCCATGGTCACCACAGGGACAGCTTTGTTCCCTCTCAATCAAGGGATGTTGACTTTGGGGACATCACCCAGGGTCCCCTCCCACTCATGGCACGTTGACATGGGTGTCACCATGAGGATGGGGACGTCACCCATGGGGACAAGTGGTGCCGACACAGGGAACACCAAAAAGTGGGGGACATCAGTGGGACACTCATGTCACCTCCCACTCAACCAGAGCTGACACAGAGACCACCATGAATGGGGACGATGCCCACGGTGACCCTGATGTCCTCCTCACAGCCCCTCAGTGTCCCATTGTGTCCCATTGTGTCCCCACACCCCTGATGTCCCCACATCCTCATTCCAACATCTCCACGTGACCCTGGTCCCCCCATGTCCCCACCTTCATAAATCCCACCAAGCTCCCAGTGTCTCTGATCCTCCAAGTCCTCTCGTTGTCCCCCACGCCCCCACTGGTGTCCCCCTCCCCCCCACTGTCCCCACACCCCCACTGATGTCCCCCCCCCCCCCCCAAAGTGTCCCCACCTTGATCGACTCCGTTGATGTAGAAATGCAGAGCGTTGTTGGCTTTCCTCGTCAATCCAATGTGGTCCCCTTCCTGGGGAGGGGGGACAGAGACACATGGAGGGACCCGAGACCCCCCCCCAAATCCTTAAGGTTGGTCCCAGAGGTGTTTGGGTTCCTCCCAACCCCCTCCCCAAAACGGGGCTGGAGGGGTTTAGGGGAAAACGTGGGGATTTTTGGGGCCCTTCCCCTGAGATGAGATGGGTTTAAGGAGGGGATGGGGGTCCTGGGGGGAGGCGATTTGGG